AATATGAGGTATGTCCCCAAAGGTCTTGCCTGTGGTAAATAATGTTGATGGAATTTTTAAATTTGTCCTAAGAATGGCCTGTATGGAAATAAAAGTTAAATAATCTGATGGGAACAAGTGCTCCTTTACAAAGTCACAAGTTAATCCGGACAAAATGGTCAATGATGTTTATATTGTTACATGTTCTTTAGAAGAATCCAATTACCTATAATGATATTTTAGCTGATAGTTAACACCAACACACCAGATTATTTACAATGAAGTTACCAGCTAAAATCAGTCTGGGAAAAATGTACTATTCATGATTATGAAGACTTTGTTATAAAATATAGTGCATCTTGATCTCCATTTTTAAGAGCTGCAGACAATCATAAAATAACAATGTTATAAGGATTTTTTCCTATAGAATATTTCCAAAGATTTTCTGAGGCTTCTCTGTGGGACAGGGATGAGGGAACACAGACTGTGAAAGACTTCAGCTTGCCTTAAAATGAAGTTTATATTTGATAAACTGAGTAATTCTAATTCTCTCCAAAAGGAAACTGCTATTATCGTAAGGCTCACAATGTACTTACTCCAAGTGATTTCTTTCACATCACAAGCATCTTGTCCTGCCTCAACTAATGAAGGGTTACAGGTTCCTGTGGGAATACCAGTGGTAGCTTTTGATGATCTCTTTCCTTGAGATATGTAACTGCATAATCAAATCTTATTCTATTATGGCAAAAGACAACATCTAGAAACTGACTTAATTTTAGCATGCTCACTTACAAACTGGCTAAAGGAGGGCTGGTGGTATAGCTCAGTGTGGAATGCTTGCCAAGCATCTCCGGGACCTGGGTTTAAGCCCTAACAATGCAACAGAAAACAATAACAGAGTGCACAGAAACTGGCAAGGGACTCTAAAATTACATTAACAACTCAGGACTATTCCCTTTGATTCCTATTCCCAATAGTAACTGGAAGTTCCAAATTGGATTTATAAATGAACAAATCTTAAGTTTTGAAGGTGTGCAAGTGACCCACACATATTACTGATTTTAAATATTTGAATCTTTATGGGTGCTAATCATCATGCTCACCAACCGAGCTTGCTGTGAAGTTAAATAAAATAGCATGGGTTTTTTGGCAATATGAAAGCTAAAAATGACCTAATATTAGTGTCTTAAGCATCAGTGTCCTAAATGTTAAACAAAAGTACCATCTAATTAATTTTCCCCTTTTCACTGTACTACATAAAGACTAAATGATTCAGAATAGTTTCTGACAGCTTACAAAAACAGTCCCTTTGCAATTAGAAACTAAAATTTGAAGTCAATTTCTGAAATGGACAAAAAAGGAGGAACCAAATTTTTCAACTAGTCTATTAACAGGGAACAGAAGTGTGTTTTTAAAGTGAAAATAATCATTACAAAAATGCAAAATCCTGAAGCAAACCTCAAATCACTACTTACAACAAATCACATAAACATCCTGAATCACAAGCTTAATGTTTTTTCCCCACCCGCAAAAGGGAACCAGTTCTTAAAATCAAACTACATTGTAAAGTTACACTTGAACAACTAGCAATATGAAAATTTTCCATTGCTCTGAAAATATTCATATTGTATCATTAAAGACAAAAGAATCTTTTTAACTACTTTAAAAACTAAAACATTCCATACATCTCAGGGAACTGAGCTTTGAAGGTTTAGAGTAATATGTTCTAAAACACTATCATTACTAATCATGAATGAATTTAATTAATCAAATTTTGGGGAAAATTGGACAAGTCAGTTAATTAAATATCTTTTAGTTTAATCTTAGTTATAAGCAGAGGTTACATTTGTCACATCATTTTATGTCATACTATGATGTCTTAGAAATATATTTTTAAATACTTGTTAAATGAATTGAATGACATAAATTCATTTGCCTTTTTCTTTCAGAAACAAAGAATTATATAGATTTCCAAAAAAAAAAAAAAAAAAATGTCAGATTGACTAGATTCCAGTAACACACTTTTTAACTGAAAACATAATTACCAGAAATGGAAACAAAAAGATGTGTCTAAGGTCATCAGAAAAGGTATTAGTATGAAAATGAAATTTTGAGCCATCAGTTTGTTACTCAAATTGACATTGACTCAGCTAACAAAAACATTTAAATTTCATTTCCAAATCCACTTAGTAAATCTAGTTCCAGTTAGAGCATCTTTAATGTGTAAAAGGCTCAGTGAAAGCAACTATTCACCATGCAAGTCACAGCTAGGATTCCCTTAACCTACTGCCCTCCACACACATCACTCTCTGTTAAACAGGCAGCCACTGCCAGATGCTCCTGTTAAAAATGGTCACAGATGGTCAGCTGTCCAGTTAACAGAACACATTGCCTTCCCAATATCCAAAAGTAAGGAGGAGAGCTCTTAGTACTTGCCTGCTTGGTGGGTTAAACACATTCAACTGCTCTAAGCTTGGCCAGGCCCTAACATTGACTTTCTAGAAAAGGAAGGCTAGACCCTAGGGGTCTCAAGATTAAAAGGCACCTTAATGGTGATCCAGTCAACAGCTGTACAATGCTTGAACCCACACAACTGCATCCCTGCCAGCCAGTCGCCATTCAGGCTGTGACCTGGCAGCTCCAGAGGTGCAGAACCTGCTGCCTAAAAGGAAAGCCTTACAGCTGCACAGAGGCCTCCATTACCTTGAACTGCAAGTAGTCCAACATCTAACTAATTCCACAGTCAGGAACACTGAGCTATTTAAACAGATGTGGCATACTAACTATAACAAAATAATTTCCTAGTTTACACATTAAAAAAGTGATTTTAGGGCTGGGGTTGTGGCTCAGTGGTAGAGCGTTCACCCAGCACACACGAGGCCCTGAGTTTGGTCCTCAGCACCCGTAAAAATAAATAAATAAAATAAAGGTATTGTGCCCAACTATCAAAAAAAAAAAAATGATTTTAAACAGAGGTACCTCAATGAACATAAAAACAACATAAAAACAAGGGCTGAGGATATAGCTCAGTTGGTAGAGTGCTTGCGTTGCAGGTACAAGGCCCTGGGTTTGATCCCCAGAAGCACAAAAATGAATAAACAAATAAATGAATAAGAAATAAAAGCAAAGGCAGCAATATATGCAATTTATTTTTAAAACATAGGAGGAAATAAAGGTTTATAGTTTTGAAAGCTATTATTCAGAGATTATAAAAAAGTTCAACAAAAATCAATGGGTCTCCCTCTCCCCACCATAAGTAATATATGCATGTATCTCTAAGTATACATGCATTTATCTATCTAATGTACTATAGAAAATCTAAAAATTTTAAAGAACTTTTAATTGCCAAAGTTTTAATAAAATTTTTCTCTAAGTTTTTTTGGTAAGAACAGCCCTGTTTTTTTTTCTAACAAATTATTCATCTCTTTAGAATAAGCTACCCATAATGTATGCACAAGAAGAGCACTCTTAAGAGTATTTCTGTATATCTTCAACATATTTATATCTTCCCTATAATGAGGAAAGTGTAAGTACTAAGTTTGATCTATGATTTTTCATCAATAGTTGCCCCAAATCTTTTTTGCTTTGAAAAATTCAGACAAGTACTGAGTAAAATATTTCCAAATCAATAATATGCACATGTAAAAGGACAACACACTGAGAAGCCATGGGCAGAAATAAACACTGCTGATTTTAGGAACAGGAGGCTGGGCTGACATCATCTCAGTATCAATGGATTAAGAAAGGTCAACCCAGAACATATGTAACTTCTCCTCATCGTTCATAAAGCTGTGTGACAGAGATCGATAGTGAAACTTATTTAATTTAATGCAGATTAAATTAAAAACCAACATAATAAGATTATAAGCAAAATACCATCTGGAAACCATGGTGAGGAACTGCAGGATGGAGTTCTGTGTCTTTGCATCTGAAAACAGGTTCCTACCAGTGTGTCTACCCTGAAGAGACTCAAGTCCAGTGCTACTTTGATAGCCTGTGCAATAAGGCCATGGAAAGATATGGTAAAGCCCACCATGGGACAACTGTGCTTCATACCCCTCACCTACAAAGGGCATTCTGAAGGAAAAAGCCAGAGTACTTTGCAAAATTCTGAAAAATTCAGAAGACCCTACAACCACTCAGCAGGCATTTGGGTGGCAATCATAATTGAAGTGACCACTTGGAACTTCAGGGTAAAACTCTCTTAAAGAGCAACAAATAGCTAAGTGTGCATTTACACCCTGCTGAGTAGGTGTCTATATTCATGAATTCATTTTGAGACAAAAGTTCTTTACTTTCTATTAAACATTTTTACATCATGAAATTCTTTATTCCCTGCAAGAGTGGGGGAAAAAAACAGTATCAACATTATTAATGAGCCCAAACACAGAGGTGATTTTTCCCTCCAATGTTCTGGGTTAGAACTACATGCAATAAATGTTTACAGTTACATGTTTTTCCCCCCAAGTACTAGAGATCAAGCTCAGGGCCTCGTGCATGCTAGGCAAGTGCTCTTCCACTAAGCTATGTCCTCAACCCCGTTACTTTTAAAAACTTTCTTCTCTGAGACAGGGTCTTACTAAGTTGCCCAGGCTAGCCTTGAACTTGCGATCTTCTTGTGTCAGCCTCCTGACTGAAAAGGCATTATTTTAGACATGATTTATGCAAATTACTTCATACCTACATAGCACTTTGAGACAAATTCTAAATTAAACTTAATTATTAAGTATTATTTATGTGTTTGGTGAAATAACTATTCTACATGCCCAATAACTGTTCAGGATCTCACTCTACCAGAAGCGAACTCTAGAAAGACAAAAAGATTCTCAGAGTTGGAGAAAAGAGAGAAAGGAAGCCTAGCTACCTGACTTCTGCCAGTCTGATCAGTAAGACATACATAGTGACATACTAAAATCAAATATTTTCTTCTTAGTATCAAATTAATTTTCTAGCCTATAGCTTTTTATCCAGCTGGCTAGAGAGGAAGGATAAAAGGAAAAGCAGAGTACAGACTCACTCACCCAAGCCACTGAGAGTGTACAGAAGATCACTGGTATCTAAGAAAATGGGTCCATTCTCCTGCTGCCCTTCCTCTTTGTAGAACAGCTTGTAGCCCTGAATGGCTGCTGGGTCTTCAGAATCTTGCTGCCACTTCACAGAAATGGTGGTACAGTTCAGAGGCTCCAAATGTAACTCTGGAGACTTAGGGGCTAGAAAAATTCACCAGAAAATTTACGTACAGACAACACAGAGTTCTCAAGAAAATTGCAGATCTCACAACTTCAAGCCAATAGTTATAAAAGGTTCAATTCCAACAACTATACTTAAACTTTCCAAAGTTTTCAATGATATTAAACCTTGAGATAGTTTAATTTAAAAATATATATTACCTTAAAAGACTAAAGTGTACAAGTACTATCTATGAAGTATTTATACATTTTTTCCATAATTTTGCCCATCTAATATTCCTCTGTGATAAAGAGAACAGGCATTATTATCAAATAAGAAAATCAGTCATAGTATATTACACCTAAGTAAAAAGAAAGGCCTAGAATCTTTCAGTCTTTAATATTAATTAGGTCTTTATTAATAAATACTTTTGTAATTGTTTGATTTGGAATGTTCTAACCATGAAGATTTTGCTAAGCAAACTAATACCCTAACCAAAAATTTTACATGGTAATGTGCTCTATACAAAAGGAACTATTAAATACAAAGTCTAATTTTGTTCCAATTAATTCTATGAATGAATACACAACACACACACACACACACATTTATTTTATTTTATTGGTACTGGGAATTGAACCCAAGGGCACATAACCACTGAGCACATCCCCAGCCCCCTTTTTTTGTGTGTGTGTTTTAATAGAGACAAGATCTCTTTGAGTTACTTAGGGCCTCACTAAGTTGCTCAGGCTGGTTTTGAACTTGTGATCCTCCTGCCTCAGTCTCCCAAGCCACTGGGATTACAGGTGAGCAGCACTGTACCCAGCTTAGATTTTTTTTTTTTTTTTTTTTGAGAGAGAGAGAGAGAGAGAGAGAGAGAGAGAGAGAAAGAGAGAATTTTATTTATTTTTTAGTTTTTTGGCGGACACAACATCTTTGTTTGTATGTGGTGCTGAGGATCAAACCCGGGCCGCACGCATGCCAGGCGAGCATGCTACCGCTTGAGCCACATCCCCAGCCCTAGAATATATATATTTTTTAATATTCATTTTTTGTTGTAGTTGGACAAAATATACCTTTATTTTACTTGTTTATTTTTATGTGGTGCTGAGGATCAAACCCAGCACCTTGCTAGGTGAGCACTCTACCGCTGAGCCACAACCCCAGCCCTGGAATATTTTTATTAGTAAAATGAAAATTTTAAAAATGAACATAAACTAAGAGAGAAAAAATTTGATTCAAAGGTAAAAATATTGTATTATTACTCCTCAACAGTCCTGACAAGCCTACCTTTCACACTTGTAGCTTTGGGTGTTCTATGTGAAGTCCACACTGATGACTCTCCTAGCCCCACACGGGTGGCAGCAGTAATCCGGACAAGATAGACACTATCAGGTTTCAGGTCTTCCAAAAGATACTCATGCATGGTCCCAGGGAGCTCTAGAACTTGGATGGAATTCTCAGTACTTAGGCGGAAGGACAAGCGATATAGCACCACTTGGCCCCGACGATATTTGGCTGGGATTGGCAGCCAGGAGACGAGAATGTCAGTGGGACTTCGACTTGTCAAACTAATTTCAGGAGGCCTCAGGGGAACTGAAAATTACATAAGAAAACATTGTTTAAAAATATTTAAAATCAAGTTACTACTTACCACACCAGTATCTATTCAATTTTATTAACAGCAATATATAACATCATAAAAGAGGCATTTTCAGTTATAGCACAGGTATTCAGAGAAGCAGAGTACAAACCAGAAAAAAGGAAGAAAAAATAATGAGAGTGGATAAGTATATGGGATGAAAGAAAGTAAGCTTCTTATCACTGTTGTGACTGTTGTCTTGTGTAGGATGAATATGCAAATACTTGATGCTCACATGAAATTGAGATTACTTTTCAAATAATCCTACCTAGTGCCTTTGACACAGGGAAAATACATTGCACAAGGGTGGGGAAGTGTAGGATTTGTAGGATTATAACCTGGAAAATAATTTTTTCAAGTCTAGAAACCAATGTGAATTTTGTATTCTCAATTATAAAATATGCTATCTTATATGAAAATCATTTTCCCCCAATAATTTAAATAAAATTGGCTTTCCAGGAAAATGAGCCCAATATGGTGGTAGGCAACATCATACTAAGAGTAAAGACTAGCCTCTCGGTGTCTGAATCCTTATTCTACCAGTTACTATGTGGTCTTTGTATGATTGTGACCAATCAACTTCTCTGTGTATAGGTTTCTTCTTCATACACAAAATGAAGACAGGATTGGTTTCTTCTGTGGTCTTCCCCATCTCGGTAAATGGCAATTATTTACCTAACTGTTCACGCCATAAACTGAGCTGTCATCCTCTACTCCTCCACACACTCCACTTTGAGTCCTATGGCTGCATGACCTCCACTGCCACCCCTTGGTCCATGCCACTACCACCTTTGGCCTGTATCATTGCAATAGCCTAACGATTGCCCTGATTCTGCCCTTTTCCTACAATCTATTGTCAACGCACTAGCCTGTTAAAACACAAGTCAGATCACTTCTGCTCAAAACAATTTCATTTCATTCAAAGTAAAAGCCAAAGTTCTCTGGCTTCATACAAAACCCTACCCAACTGCTCGACTGGCTTCCTGGTTTGTTGCTTCATTTTCTACTGTTTCACCCTTTTTTCTCCCACTCTAGCCATTTTATGCAGGCCTTTTGCAATTCCACCTCCTCTCCCTGAATACGCCTGTCCCAGTCACCTGACTAGCGCTCCTTTATTTTCATTTCTTTCAAGTCTTCTTCAAATGTCACCCACTCAGTGAGCCCTTCTCTGGAGATAACTGTCTAAAACCTCAAATTCCGCAGCACATCATGCTCCACTGCCCTACATCTTTTCGCCTTTTCTTCCACACCTCACCACTGTCTAACAGAGTATATAATTTATTCTTTGTTTGTTGTTCCTATGCTCCCTTCCCCTCCAGAAATTTAGCTCCATATTGAATAACACATAGCAAGTGCTCAATAAATATTTGTTGAATGAATGAAAGAGTAAGTGGAAATGAAAAAAACAATTTAAGGATTTCTGAGTTCTTTATGTTTATGAACCATTAATACTTAGAGAAACCCAGTCAAGAAAGTATCATGAAACATTTCTATTTCATAGCTGTGAAAAAAAAGTCCAATGGAGTTAATCACTTGCCCAAGGCCCCACAGCTAGTGAGGGAAGGAGCAGACCTAGACAAAGCAGACAGAGCTTGCATCTTTGTCCTCCATATTCTACTGCCTCTTATATAATACTAGCTCCCCTACCATAGAGTTATGTAGGGATAAAATGGGATGACAGAGGCAGGGTTTCTGGAAGAGCGTGAGTGGTAAGTGCTCCTTCAGTATGAGCTGTAACACAATGTCACACCCTGAAATTGAGACCAACACAAATCAGTATGTGAACGGGGTTTAGAAGGTGGGAGAGGCCAGTGCGAAAAATTTGAAAAGCAGTGTCAAAAAGGTCTGTATGCCATCCACAAAACAAAAAATGTTGCAGAGTAAGGAAATGTTTACTATAACTAAAAAGTCAAGCCTTAACAAGTAGCTTGCTATGCTTAGACTCATTTTCTTCAAGGACATGGAGGAGGAATATAACTAATACATGTACGTGCACATATGTCATGCATTAGCTGAAGATGTCATATATAGTATGGCTCACTCTGAAGTGGAACAGACTCTTAGATGAAAACTAAAATTTGAAATTCAGCATCCAGATAAGTGAAAAATTTTTCATTCAGTCAAACCCTGAATTTATAAACATCTAAACAAGTAGCATTAAAAAGATGTAAGAGATCTGGGGCCAAATGAACAAAAAAAGCAGGTTTGGAAATTATTTATATAGAAATGTTTTGAAAACTAAGAGTAAATTATCCTGAGAACAACGACATGCATGTTAAGGGAGAACAGTGAAAGCAAGCATTAATTCCCTTTCACACTACAGGGTACAAACACTGGGCCCACCAGAACCGTGGAGAGAGAACCTGTCTTTTACAACATGATATGAAGAGCCCAAAGAGGACCATTTCTCCTGGAGCATTTTAATGGAAAGAATTCCCCAACACCATCAGAAAATATAGAGGACTGCCCTCCGTGGAGAGAACTACAGCTCAGTGATCAAGTAACAAATTGAACAAGTAATAAAGCATCTAGTAATAAACTATGTGCTATTTGATTACCTAAGAATTTTTAAACTGATGGGTAAAAAAGTTTCATAAACTACCAGTTTCAGAAGTCCAATGCCTTTGACCAATAGTCACTGTAAACACTCAATATGTAACATTCATTACATCTATTCTGACCAGGAAAAACTCAGGTTTTATTCTATTTTGTAAAACAATTGCAATATATTTACAATTTAAACAGGAAATACAATGAATATGTAAGAATATTATTAAGATCTGTTTTTTGAATTATAAATAAAATTGCTTTAACCTTATCATGTTACTGGCAAAAAGCAAGAGTCCGATTTGAAATGACAAATTAGCCTGCTGTTTAACAATCTTTTTTTTTTTTAACCAAATACAGGATTTTCCCATTTAAAACACATTTCTTGAAAATTACTAAATATATGAATGTTCATACATAAAAGACCTAGAATCATGTTTTCTTACCATCCTCTAGGGTATTCTGGGTCACATGGTCAGACATCTGGCTGGCTCCCATTGGCATATATGCCACAATGTAGAAAGTATAATTGCTGGCAGGCTCCAAGTCATCAATAATATAATGAGTTGTATCATTTCCAAGGACTACCTGATACTCTTCATTATTTAAACCTAGATAAAAGAATCTGTGTTTAAAAACTACAAATGTTCAAATAAAGCTTGTAAGACCATTTCCCCTCACTATCAAACACGGGTCCTTGGGTTTAATCTCTGTTAATTTTCTGTTAATTCTGTTAATTTTTTTTTTTACACAAAACCATTTTGGGAGCAGAAAGTTCTTTATTTTCTAAAAAAATCAAGTAATTTGTCTTGCTACAAATTACTAGTTTAAATTTTTCCTGAATAAATCAAACTGAAAAGAACTAATCTCTAAACTTCTTTTTCTATCTAGTCAAATCCTACAGCAGACACAGTCTACAGCAGTAACAAATGTTTAACATAACAGAATAAAATAACTTACAACAGTGTAAATTTGCTTGCTTAAACTCATGATTTTCTTTCTTTTTATTCCTTGCCCCCCTCCCCTTGTAAACATAAATGGAGAGACAGGGAACGCAATGACTCTATTCTTTATGAAAACAAAACAAACCAAAAGTTGCCCAAAAGATCTCATTTTGCCCCTAGAGATTCTATTAAATTTGACTGACACAAGTTGTTCTTTTTATTTATCCTGAGAGCAAAAGAACTGGGAGGCACAGAATGTACTTCGAAAGTTTTATTCCACAGTGAGGTTTTTTTTTTTTTTTTTTTAAGAAAAAAAAATTCTCAGCAATTCTTAATAAAATATGCATGGCAAGGTATAGAAGAGGATTTGTCTTTGTGGAATTTAATTCCTACAGAGCAGACCTACAAAATGGAACAAGAGCACTGGCAGCTACTGTGCTCTGCTCACAATTCACAGTAAATGCACGTCAACTCAATCAAAACTCTCTTAAGGACAAGTCCCTTCTCCCCACACTGGATTTATAAACAAAACAGAAGGCAAATTCCAGTATTAAGTTTTCCCACATTTCTGAATTAACTTGATAGCATTTTAATTAGACAAGATTACAGGCATTTCACAACAGACTGGCTAATGGCTCGTTAATTAGGAACTGCATAGTACGATTTCTGACCTACCAAACAAGGTCCTTGAGTTCGAATTAAAAAGCCTTGTTCATTCCTGAATAGACCACTGAGCCGCATGCAGAGGCTCTAATGAAACAACCATAATAGCGAACAAGAGTGGACTCCACCAAACCAGCCTTCCTTTTACCTTCCTAAATCACTAAAGAGGGAATTAACATACTCCAACATGCTCAGTTATCAGACTTCCATTCTTCTGGCTTCTATGACCTCTGATTTACATTCAAAATATTCCTTTTCAAAACACTACTTCAAAGTGCAAAAAACAAATGGCAGTAGCAGCAACAAACCACCTGTCTCTATAGACAATTTTAATATCCCACCACTCTTCGGGTGTTTGGATTTGTTTTTAATGTATAGTGCATAAAAGCCAGGCTGTTTGTGGAAAGAACTAAAATTTGTACAACTTTGCCATGGTTTCTATAAAAAGTCAATGGAGAAATCTAGGATTTATAAGTAGTTTTTCTCTTTCCTCTACAATTTTTGCCAAAAGATATAGGGATTTTAAAAAAGATATAAAAAATGGAACCAATAATTCTAAATAAGAATTTTAATATCCACTTGATTGTTACTTTTATACAGTGATATATCAGTAGTGTCTTGTTCGATTTTCAAAATATTCCACATGATTTCAGGAAATGTTCAAAATATACAGAATCAAATACATGGAAAATTTTATCATGTTTACCTTCCACCTTAAAGATAATATGCTATAGTCTCTATAGTTCACTATATTATTTTACCAGTTACACCACTGTTCATACTTATCTCTCTATCTAAAATAGGTCTAAGTCTCAGTTAAGGAATTTATACTTTGGCTGGACTCAAATGCATAGGTATGCCACTTTGTAATTTTTAGCAGGCAGCGATGTCCTGCATTAACTGGTGTTTGTTTATAAACAGAAAAACCTTAAATTATACTAATATGCAAAGTGCACATCAAAAGAAAATTTAGAGAAAAATACATTCATAGGCAAGAGATTATTAAAGAGATAAGAGCCATCTGGGCACAGAGGCATACACCTGTAATCCCAGCTACTCGGGAGGTTGAGACAGAAGAGTCTAAGTTTGGAGCAACTTAGAGAAACCCTGTCTCACAAAAAAAACACAGGACTGAGAGTGTGGCTCAGTGTTTGTCTATGATACACAAGACCCTCGGTTCAATTCCCAATGCCACCAAGAAGAAAAAAAGAAAAAGGAGAAAGATAAATGCCATAAAATTTCAAAAATATTTTGGGGTCTTATGTAAGACAACATTCATTCTAAAAACAAATCCTTGATAGTAAACAGCACTTATAAATAAACACTATTCAAATTGCTTACCTTCTGCTTTCATGTAGTGCACGGAATAAGCAATGACCTTGTCTGAGTTATAAAGTGGCCTCTCCCAAGCTAAAAGGATGGCTGAACTTGACATGGTTTCGGCATGCACATTATAGGGAGCACTGGGTCTATCTTCCGACATTACTACAGTCAGTCTGGCTCTAGATAAAATAGATCCTTGGCTATTCTCAGCCATGCACTGATAAATAGCATCATCTTCAGGAATAATCTGATTAATTACCAATTTACTGAGGAAAGAAAAAAATTATTTATGTCCATGAAAAATTCCAAGAATGATGCAAAAATAAAGTTCAGTTATTGCTAAGTATACTCTCATTTTAAATGACAAAAGTTAACTGAGAACAAAAAAAACTGTATAATCAGCCCTAATTAAAAACATTCTACACTAATTACTTAAAATTAATCTTATATATTTTCTGAGTCTCTATAAGGTGACTTTAAAAAAACTGGCTTTTAATAAGAAAGTACACTCTTTAACAAAAGCACTTTAACTCATACAATATTACAGTGAATGCATAACATTGAGGTCAACAAATTTTTTAAAGTTTTGCTCAGCATAAAGTTATGTTACAAGAATTCATATTTATACTATAAAAATCCACTCTTCAAATTGCTAAGTTTGAACTGTGGAGGAATTCTTAGAGAATAAATTATTTCCTTCTAATTTCCTTATTTGATGTAAGAAGGAACTGACACCCAAAGAGTTAATCTGCTTGCTTATGGTAACTTAGGTAGTGGTCTGCCAGGGATAGAACCTAGATTTGGGAAACTGTCCAATATTCATTTCATTATAATCCAACACTTCTATGATCCATGTACAAAATACAAAAGATCTATGGCATGTTAATATTATAAAACTTAAATTAATTTCTTATTTGTTTTAATTTAGTTTTAATTATCAGGATTATTTAGCTATTTGATATTATTATAATCATGTCACATAAAAATTACTGAAGTCATTATTTCTTATAAAATGGTAGCAAAATTATATAACCCACCTGTTGTACATTTTAATTCTACCATTTGAATGTATCTTCCTTCCATTTTTCAACCATGACATTTTGGGTGAGGGGATTCCTTCTGCCTGACAAACAAATCGAGCAGTGCCAGCTCGAGGTCTCGTTAAACTTTCTGGCCATTCAACAAATGAAGGAGGTGCTGTTTTTAAAGAAAAAAGAAAATATTCCTATGATCCCAACCAGAATGACAGAAACAGTCAAGGAAGTGTACATCAAATGAAACAAGTTGCCTTTCTAAAGATGCCTGACATTCTGAGCCTCCTGCCCAGGTACCTTCTCTCTGCACTGCTCATTAGTGTCCACTTCCTCCATGTTTTTGCTACTGAGACCATTTATATAAACACATCAAAAGTATGCATGCCCATAGTCCTTCTTAACTGAGCCCAACATAAGGCCACTTGTGAATACATACAATCAATAAGTTCAAATTTTAGATTATTGAATGGGTATGGATATGTGGGTAGATGAAAAAGAGAAGAAAGGAGGCTAGCAAGTGGGGTTTGATCCCCAGCACCACAAGAAAAGAAAAAAAGAGGAAGAAAAAGGGAAAGATCAATAAGGAACATGCAAACAGGATAGTGACTTCAGAATGGTTCTGTAGCTATACTTAATAAAGGAATTTAATTTTCCCCTAAAATTTATCGTTGTAAACTGTACTTCTTACCCACCTTCTCATCAATGCTACAAAACTCAAGAGTAAGGTATAAATAAGATAAAATGGCAAATGTTAAGATGTAAGATTCTCCTGATTATGGAATGAAAGAATACATACCTAATACAGTTAAAGTTGCCATGGCAACTGTAAAGTTGCGTGTGCCAGGGGTAGTAGCCCGACAAACATACACTCCAGCATGTTGTAATTTGACATCAGATATCATGAGATTACCATTTCCAAGCACCCGAGTATTAAAGACATCAATGGACTTGTGATCTATTCCAAAGAGAATATTTCAGCTAAAACAATGTAACATATAATCCAAAATTGTACCAAAAGACAACTATCCAAGCAATCAATCATGAAAAGCATAAAAATGATCTACAGTGAAAGTTCTTATCTACATGCTGAAATGCCAAAAGAAGCCACTCAATTTCAAGTGCCAAATGTGTTTTATTTATAAAATGAAAATTTTTACTTTTTTTTTTGAATGAACAAAGTTTAAGGAAAAGACTCACATATCGAGAGAAGACTTACCAAGACGGCTCCAAGAAATGATTGGTTTGGGATTTCCTGTGGCCATACACTCTAAAACAACAGTCTGATGAAGAGACATTGTTATGTTCTGTGGACCTGCTATAATGGTTGGAGTGTAGAAGGATTTAGACTCCTTTGCTTTGGGGAGGAAAAGACAGAATTCAAAAATCAAATATAAGTGAAACACCGTTAAAACACCAATTCTTAGTCACTTTTTCTAAACAGGAAACTTCTTTAATCTTTATTGAGATATAACTCCCATGTCATACAATTCACCTATTTGACATATGTAATTCAATGGTTTTTAGAATTTTCAGAGTTATGCAACTATTACAACAGTTAATTTTAAGACATTTTCAACACTCCAAAAGATATCCATATCTATTAGCAGCCACCCTCCAATCTTCTCTCTATATAGCCTGATACCCATTTATCAAGTTTCTGTTTCTCAGAATTTGCCTATTTCTAGACATTTTATGTGAAAGAAACCTTAATATGATATTTTTGTGACTGACTTATTTTCACTTAACCTAATGTTTTAAGATTCACACATATTGCTGAAACGTGTCAGTACTTCATTCCTTTTTTCTGAATAATAATAAAATAATATTCAGCTATGGATAAAACATTTTATTTTTCCATTTTTCAGTTGGTGGATACTTTAGGTTACATCCCTATCATTCACTTTTTAAAAAAATTTTTTTAGACGTTGATGGACTTTATTTTATTTATTTATTTATATGTGGTGCTAAGAATCGAACCCAGTGCCTCACATATATGCTGGGCAAGTGCTCTGCCACTGAGCCACAACCTAGCCCCCATATCATTGCACTTTTAATTGAGATTGAAGCATTATTTAATACTTCAATGGACCTTGGTAAGAATTTATGTGACAGTGGAAAATTAAGGAAGAATTAGCCGGGCGTGGTGATGCAGATTTTCTTCCTTTATATCCAATTAAATTTAAATTTAATTATTTTAAATTAAAAACTAGCATCTCTATACATAATTCATTTTAATAAGTTATATATTTCTTTCTTTATAGTCATCTCTATAAAATTTCCCTCCTACCTATATCATGTATGGCCAAATATAAAAAATTATATTCACTTAATATTAACAATAACAATTTCTTTTTTTTTTTTTTTTTTTTTTTAAAATATTTATTTATTTATTTATTTTAGTTCTCGGCGGACACATCTTTGTATGTGGTGCTGAGGATCGAACCCGGGCCGCACGCATGCCAGGTGAGCGCGCTACCGCTTGAGCCACATCCCCAGCCCAACAATAACAATTTCTGAGCACTGAGATCAAGGATGGTATTTTTAAACTTTTATGTTTATACTTTTTCCATGGTTTAATATAAAAATTTTATAAATATTACTTTTTACAACAAATATGTATTGTTTGTGCACATACTGATTATTATTTCTCTTAAAACAACAAACAAAAGAATAAGAGACTATAAACAAATATATTGACAGTAGACAACTCTGGTGTAAACAGATGATTGTTATGTTCTTTTTATGTACTTTCTATATTTTATGCTTTTAAAACCAAAAGTGAAATATTTATAAAAGAAACATTCACTCTTTCTTAAATTTGACATAATAGAGCTAGAGGTGTAACTCAGGGATAGAGCACTTGCCTAGCATTTGTGAGGTCCTGGGTTTGATCTTCAGTACTTTAAAAAGAAAAGGAAAGCCAGACATGGTGGCACACATCTATAATCCCAGTGATTCAGGAGGCTGAGGCAGGAAGATCCCAAGTTCAAAGCCACCCTCAGCAACTTAACAAGTCCCTAAGCAACTTATCTCAAAATAAAAATATAAAAAGGGCTGGGGATGTGACTCAGTGATTAAGCATCCCTGGGTTAAATCTAAGGAAGGAAGGAAGGAAGGAAGGAAGGAAGGAAGGAAGGAAGGAAGGAAGGAAGGAAGGAAGGAAGGAGGAAGAAAGAGAGACAGAGAAAGAGAAAGAAAGAAAGAGAGAAAGAGGAAGGAAGGAAGGACAGATGAATGAATGGACACACAAAACAAGATGACACACATAACACAACAGAAGACAAGTAGCCTGGGAAAGCAGAGTTCCTTAATAGATAAAAATGACCATTTTCCAAACAGATTACAATAATCAAGTATAATTAAAATACCACTTTATGGAATACAACTAGAGGAGAAAAAGTAATCGAGGGGTCAATAAGACCTGAAAAGCCATTTCAGTGAGATACCTGGAATCACAGTTAGAGAGGCCTCCACACTTTTGCGCCTGTGAGCTACAGCAGCAGCAACACAACGATAATTCCCAGCATCCTTTAGGCCAACATCATAGATCTGCAATACTCCTGTTGGTAGGGCAGTTATCCTGTTATGAGAAGAATTAAATAGTTGAACATTTTGTAGATTTTTTATTTTACTTAACACATCCTATAACAGGAATCAATACACTCACTTTTTTACAGTGCTATAAGCAATACTTTAAAGACCCTTTAATTTTGTTTCTTATAGTACTGGAGATTGTACCCAGGGGTATTCTACCACTGAGCTATACCTCCAATCCTTTTTATTTTTAGACAGGGTCTTGTTTGGTTGCTGAAGCTGACCTGGAACCTGTGATCCTCTTGTGCCTCCAAGGTGGCTGGGATTACAGGCATGTGCCAGCACACCCAGTGACCCTTTAAAATATTAATTTGGGTTGGGGATGTAGCTCAGTGATACAGCCCTTGCCTACCATTCACAAATCCATAGGTTCAATCCCCAGCACCAAAAAAACAAAACCAAAAGTCGAACATAACCTCAATTCTGTTGTTTTCATTTGGGTCACAACAGATCTCTAAAATATAAATAATTCTGTACAATATAGTTTGTGAGATCTATCAGTCTAATGTTATATAGAAACATTCCAGTTTAGATTTAACTAATGGATGGCCCACAGTTTTGTATGATTTATTTTCAAATACTGATTTTTCATAAATATCTATGTATGAAGGTATACTCAGATGTTAGTTTTTTTAAAAAAAAATGATAAAGTCCTATTTGGAATAACTTTTTCCATTTTAGTGCTCTGCCATTTTAACCAACAATTTTTGCCTATTTAGAAGCAGGAAAGAAAGTCAACTTTTAGGAGTTGCTACCAATTTCTTTTTATTTTTTTAATATATTTATATTTTTAGTTGTAAGTGGACACATTACCTCTTAATTTTATTTATTTTTATGTGGCGCTAAGGATCAAACCCAGTGCCTCACATATTCTAGGCAAGCACTCTACTGGTGAGCCACAATCCCAGCACCTGCTACCAAGTTCTTAATCCTTAAACCCCAAATACTCTCAGAGTACAAGGTATGTGCATGTGTGTGTGTACACGTGTGGATATGTATGCATAGTAGATGGGGACTGGAAATTGGAAGGCAGACACAGCAGTGGGCAGCTACCAGGGCCTATAGGGAGACTGCTCTTCCCAGCACTGAAACTGTAATTTGATTTCCTAAACCCCTGGGTTGTGATTCAAATCCTCACTTAGGTCCACAGTTAGACAAAATGATCAAGGAAAACAGCAGGATAATGTCTGAATTATACCTATGCAAGGAAACTAGCCCCTGTTCTAGAAATTAATGGTGTAATTCTCTAAGTTTGAAATGTTTCAGAGATCAGTTATTGACACACTAAATGAAAATGAGCTGCACAACAGTCCTTTTCCCTCTATAGTCTCATGTGAAGTTGTCATTATTCCTGTGTCACCTCCATAGGAAAAAAATACATTTACCTATCCATAGTTATAGGTAGAGTTGTCCGATTAAATTCCCATGTTATAATTGCAGGAGGATTAGATGAAATTTTACATGCAAATCTAGCAACTCCACCTTCAGGGACCTCGGTGGAAATCGGCTGAACTTCAAATGCAGAAATAGCTATAGGATAAAATTCAACAAATTTAGAATGAGCACATGACAACTATACTCAGATATAACATTTTGCTAAATAGTATTTACCAGATGTGAACTCCTGCTCAGGTATAAGATAAACCGAACTTAACTAGTACAAAGATAATTTAGTAAGTAATTTTGGAAAAAAACACTGAGTAGTTGCCCAACATAGGAAGCCTAGTCTTTCCTGGAATTAAATTCTAAACAAAAGTTCTCAAGAAACCACCCATCTGGAGAGGAAAGATCAACACAACTGAAACACAAATGAAGGTGATTATATATCAAATACTACTGTAAATCAGAGGGAAGAGGAATGAAGACAAGCTAGTCAGGTAAAAATCATTTATACGAATTTTCTGAATTGGTTTTTGAAGAATCCATTGGGTTCATTTGAAAGTACAGAAGCATGATATTCCATGTGAGAGGAATATCATGAAGACAAGTCCCTGGGTAAAAACTGCAGCTTGTGTTCACATGACTGTGAGGAGACAGCTAGGACTATCCACAAAGTATTTCCAATGAAGGGCTCAGGAGAAAGCAGAAGGTGAGTAGAAATAAGATTCGTACCATGGTACAAATTAAAGTATCACTGAATATTTTTTGAGCAAAGGAGTATCACCATAATAGTAATGCCTGGAAAAAAAATTAATCAGGAATGGATTAAATAAAGGAGTCCCAAGTCTAAAGTCCAACTAGCTGCTAAGAACATATCTGGGTTGGTGGCAGTGGGGACGAAGAGATTCTAGATACCTTAAAGAAAACAAAAGACTTGTTTCTTTTTGGACACAGATACATAATATGCTCGGATTCATATGAAGCTGGTATTGATGGGACAAAATGAGAAAGAAGAGAGAAAAATGGTGCATCTGATGAACAAAATTTAGAGAAACTCAGGAGACTATTTTTATACTCACGTATTTCCAAAGTGGACATAAATCTAAGTATTGATATTTTCTTACAAATGGTAATTCTGTAACACTCTAGGTAGGCCCTCAATCCAGGCAACAGCACTTCATTGGAAATACTGTGTGGATAGTCCTAGCTGTCTCCTCACAGTCCTGTGAATTCTCTTCCCTCTGATACAAAGAAAGTGCTCCAAGCATAATCTCATAGTCTTACTCCCTTTCCTCATGCTCTAGTTTGTTTTTTTTTTTTAAATCATTCATACTTTATCAATAAAGCAAGAAAATTAAGAAGAGAAATATAACAAGGGCTAAACTTATGCTTCATTAGACTGGAAAAGGGTAAAAGATGACAGAAGACTAACAGATTCTGACTTGAACATGACTTCATTTTTCTGTAGGTAGATTGCAGGCCTTTAGAGGTAGGGACAGGAAAAGAGCAGTGAAAACACACTTTGGTAGGATCTACTTTCAAAAGGGGTGAAGTGGGATAACAAAATACTTTGTGTATATGACCAAAAAAAAAAAAAAAAAACAGCAGCCCTCACACTACTGTCAGCAATCCTCAAAGTCAAAACCATTTGAAAATAGCCATCTTGGGCCTTTTACATTTTCTTTTCTCAAGTGTATAGTGTTTTCCAGAAGCAACAGAACAGGTGATACTGCAAAAGACTAAATACAGAAGCAGAAGTGTGTGGGAATTCAGCTGTCAGAATATTCTATTAATTAGAGATTTGCACAAATGTAAAGCAATACCACTCCTCTTATTAATTTTTCTTTTAGAAAATGATTATCTTAATGTGAAATATTAATATGTAGTAGATCAATATTTTCATTTTTAAATGGATTTTTAAAGTTCCTAGTCATAAATTTTTAATAGTAAGATCACTAGATAATAAGCTACATAAATAAGTTCCTTGTCCAAAATAAGTTTTAAGAGTATATAGAGAGTGAATGTTTTAGAATCACTATTCAAGAACATCAAACTGTAAAGAGAAAAAGGAACGCATATACTGTTGGTGGGATTATAATTAGTAGAGCACTATGGAAATCAGTGTGGAGTTTACTCAATGACTGGAATGGAACTAGGGAATAAAACTGACCAAACTGTGTTATGTGCACATAAAAATGTCACAACAAATCCCACTCTTATGTATAATTATAATACATCAATTAAAAATTGATTTTTAGAAAGAACTTCAAACTTTAAAAATCAATACAGTTTTTCCTTTTAATTGCCTCTGTAATCACCAGGATGTTAGCCTATGAACATTTTAATTCTGGATTGAATCTATGGACCACCACTGCTGTTCATCTACTAAAGAATTAAGAATACTCACCTTCAAAATATCAGGTTTACATTCACAGAGACCTGGTTTCTCAGAAACAATGTAAGATTGTCTTTTTATGATTAATTAAATTTACATTCAATACATTCATTTTCTCAGGAATTAGGACCTATATTTCCCTAAGCTTAATGCCTGCTTTATAAATATTAGTGCCACATTTACCTTTTCCATACATAAGGGGGTGACCTTTGGTGATATTTATTGGTAATTCAGTTTATATTCAATTTACAGAGTTAAAATGGGAATTTAACCATATTCTTTCCCAGCCTTTCCCTTCTCAAATTGAAATATACAGTTTAGCTTTTCTTTATAGAGCAGAAGCTCTTCCAGGACTATCTATTTGAACAATTCCTTCTTCCTTTGCCCACAATTGAGATCAAATACCCAATTCGATATGCTTTATCTCCTATATCGGACTTCTTTCCATCCCTAATAATCTTTATGCTCAATTATCATATCTAGCTTGTAAATCTGAAAGAAGCTGCTTCAGTAGTATCTCCTCTGCCAGCAAAATCATCCTCCAAAGTGATCATCATAAAACAAAAATGCAATCTGTGTTGCTGATGAATTAACTGTTTTTTTTAAAAAGCATTCTTTTTTTTTTTTTTTTAGAGAGAGAGAGAGAGAATTTCAATATTTATTTTTCAGTTTTTGGCGGACACAACATCTTTGTTTGTATGTGGTGCTGAGGATCGAACCCGGGCCGCACGCATGCCAGACGAGCGTGCTACCGCTTGAGCCACATCCCCAGCCCACTTTTTTTCAGAAATCTATAGTCTTGTACTTAACCTCTTATAATTATGTCTCACTAACACTGAACTGTTTACAGTTCTCTGCATACCTCTGAACTTTATATGATATGTCCTCTTCTCTCAAATCCCCCAGGTCCCTTTGCCAATCTGATGAAACCCATCATGGCTTAAAGCCCAATGACTTTCTCCCATGACTTCTGGGAAGTTGTTCCTGACCCTCTTGTCTGCAACCTTGTACTGCAGACCTTCACTGCTGCTTCATCATACAATTATAGGTTTAATATACCTTATCTGAAATGCTTAGATCAGAAATTAACTTTAGATTTTGGAGTTTTTCAGAGTTTTGGAATAATTATATAGGCGTTACCAGTTAAACATCCCTAATCTTAAAATGCAAAATCACCAACTTTTTGAGAAGTTTTGGATTTGGGAGTATTTTGAACTTCAGATTTTCAGATTAGGGATCTCAACCTGTATAATCACCTATCCACAAGTCTGTTTATAGGGATTCTACACTATGAGTTCATTGAAGGATAGAAATGGGTCATAATTTTTACAGAATCCCTTATGACAAAGAATGGCACAACAGACTTGGCTTAAAAAAAAAAAAGTTTGCTGAGGGATTAGGATTTTGGCTCAGTGGTAAAGCACTTTCGTAGCACTGGGTGAGGCACTGGGTTTAATCCTTACCACCGCATAAAAATAAATAAAATAAAGGTGTCATGTGCATCTACAACTCAAAAAAAAAAAGGTTACTGAACTGAACTGAAAATTTTGGGACTTTCTCCAATTCCACCAGGTTTTCAAGCACAGTATCTAGAATTTTAAGGAGTCTAGTACAGGTAGTGAAGGCAATCTGGATGTGACACGGTCACCCCACTAATCACCACGGTTGATTAGGCTGTTGTGGCTGGTAAGGCGGGTGTCCTCTTCCTCCCTTACTACTCCATGTGCATCCCCCCTGAAGCTGTGCGCTTTGTCAAAGATGATGGCCTTTCCTGATAGAGAAGTACCATACTTGGGTCAAGAGTATATGAGTAGCTGCACTCCCCTGCTAGAACCTTCATACAAGCTCTCAAGGAATGTGGTATAAACAGCAAGGCATGGGATGTTAAGAAAATAATGCTTTTTATTATTTTTTTGTTGCTCAAAAGATGCCAAATATTTTAGCTGCATGATTTTTTTTTTTTTTTTTTTTTTGAGACAAGTTCTAAGTTGCTTAGGCCTAAGTTGCTGGTGCTGGCTTTGAACTTGTGATTCTCCTACTTTAGCCTCCTAAGTAACTGGGATTACAAGTGTGAATAGTGGTGCCCAATAGCTGCATAATTTTTTAAAGACAAAGTTTGTTTCAACTATATCAAAGGAGTTTTATAAAGAGTAAATAAGCCAATATAGTGAGGACCCTTCATTAGTATTATAATGCTTTTTTTCTTCTTTTTTTTGCAGTGTTGGGGATTGAATCCAGGGCCTTATACATGATAGGCAACTACTCTTACCAATGAACTACACTCCTAGCCCATAAGCCTTTCATAAATGCTGTGATTATTAAGAATAAAAATCATTATTCTGTTGTCTTGAGTAATATCCTTCCAACCACTTAGGCAACTGAAGGTTGTGGGTTTTTTACTCTGAATCTCATCTAACCAATCAAACAACATGCCTCAGAACCACTACCTTTTCTTTAAGCAGTCTCCCTTTTTTCTCAGATTGATAAACCTATGAAATCCTTCTTGAGATTTTTGACTATACCAAAACTCAACTGGGACTAGGGGTGTGGCTCAGTGTCAGAGCACCTACGTGTTCAGCATGTACAAGGCCACAAGCTCAATCCCCAGAACTAAAAAAAAAAAAAAAAGAACAAACCAACTTTATATTTTAGGCCAAAGGGCTAGAGCCTAAGAGTCACACAATTCTGTGTCATGATTTGGACAGGAAGCATCTCCCAAAGGTTCTTGTGTTGAGGGCTTGAGCCCAATGCAGCA